CAATATCCAATATCTCCATCTCCGTACACGATCTTAAATGCTCAGTTATATGTGCATCCTCCCAATCGCCCACATTTTTGGGCCCCATCTCAAGGAAACTTTCGCCCACAACGGCCACCCTATCAGGTCCCTTACAACTCTCCTCTTATGCGGAATTATGCTCAAGATCAAGCGCAAAAAAAGAAATTCACTCCATCGGGGGAGTCGTACTCCAACTTGTTTCAAAAGTTAAGAAAGATAGGAGCGATTGAGTGTATCCCACCACACCGTCTGGATCCAAATGCTCCAGGTTTCCAAGCCAATGAAAGATGTGAATACCATTCAGGAGCCCCAAGACACAACACTGATAATTCTTGGAACTTGAAGGGAGCTATAGAGAAGCTGATCGAGCATGGAGTTGTTGTTGTGAAAGATGATCAAAACACTCCCAATGTGATCAATAACCCACTTCCAGCTGAAAACAACTTAGTGGGTATGGTTTGTGATGATCAAGAGTACAGACTCCTCAGCAAAATGGGAAAGTTGTTTAGGAAGATTGGAGAAGAAGACAAGTCAATGAAGAGTTTAAAACCAGTTGCCTCTCTGAGTGCGGAAGGTGTCAATCTTGGCACCAAAGTCTTGTGCGCCCCGGGGGTTTCAAAGGGGATTGAAGTTCGAGCAGCTATGCCAAAGTTGTATGTATCAAAAGGCTTTTCATAACACAACATGACCAAAGTGGCTTGACCAAGATGAAAGAGCCTATTTTTGTTAAGCCTGTTCAACAACTTCCAGTAATTGATTCAAAGGCTGTCCCTTGGAACTATAAAAAAACTGCAGTGGTTTATCAATGAAAGGAGATTGTCGAAGAAGTTGATGAAGTGGGAGGTTTGACACGCTATGGAAGATGTTACTCTCCAGAAGAATTAAGAAAAGGCAAGATGAGTGAAAACATCCAAGTACCACTAAAGAAAGCAGTTACTGAAGAAGAAAATGCAAAATTTCTAAAAAAGCTTAAGGTTCCAGATTACTCTGTCGTGGAACAATTGAAGAAGACGCTTGCACATATTTCACTGTTGTCTCTACTTTTGCTCTCAGAAGAACATCGTCTTGTGTTGAATAAGGTTTTGAATGAAGCATATGTGCCAAAAGAGACCATAGTAAATCAGTTGGAGAATATGACCAGGCGCGTCTTTGAGTCAAACGCCATAACTTTCACTAATGATGAGTTGCCCAAGGAGGGAGCTGGACACAACAAAGCTTTGCATCTTACAGTGACATGTGAAGGTTACTATGTAAAGAGGGTCATGATAGATGGAGGGTTAGGGGTAGACATATGTCCTCTTTCTACGCTGCAAAGCTTGAAAGTTAACACTGATAGAATTCGCCCCAGTAATGTATCTGTGCGAGCTTATGACGGATCAAGGAGGGATACCGTTGGTGAAATCAAGTAAACATGACAATTGGGCCAGTAGTCTTTACGATTGTGTTCCAAGTAATGGATATGGAAACATCTTATAATTTTCTACTAGGAAGGCCATGGATCCACATGGCTCGAGCCGTCCCATCAACTCTACATCAAGTTGTCAAGTTTGAATACAACAATCAGGAAATCACTGTTCATGGGGAAGATGATTCACCTATTTACAGAGATCCATCCGTCCCATACATTGAGGCAAAGAAAGGATGTGATTCTATTGTTTACCAGTCTTTTGAGGTTGTATCACTCGATCACTTTAAAAAAGGAGAATCTATCATCCAATCATGTATCTCTTCTTCCGCTTCAATGGTAGCAACGACGATGCTCAAATATGGTTATCAACTCGGTAAAAGTTTGGGAGTATATTCGCAATAAATCGTGGATCCCATTACTCTTTTAGGAAACCAAGGTACCTTTGGCCTCAGATACAAACAAAGCAAGAGAAATGGAGATAAATCTAAGAACCACAAAAGGACTAATTGGTCGTTGCCACAACCGATTCCCCATATTTCACATTCTTTTATCAAACCTCAGGGTCCAGAATTGAAAGATTCATTCACTCTTGAGGACATTGAAGAAATTATTGAGGATCTCAGTCAGTTGTTTTGTGAAGTAAATATGGTCCAAGTTGGTGAAGGCACAATTCATGCCTATATGCAGCTCGTGGGCTCAGGTGTTGAATTAAACGATTGGGAAGCCACTCGTTTCCCCATAAGGAAGGAGTCATGGTAGTTTGTTTTGCTACTCTTTTGTATTTTGTTATTTTCAGGGTTGTAGTCCGAATAGTTCAAAGTATTTTGTTATTGTCAACCCTTCTGTCCCTTTTTGATGTCAATGAAATGAAATTTCAGCTTCATAGTAAATTTTGTTGTTTTTTTCCTCTCTTAATTCTTATTTTCTATTTTTCAGTTTTGTAAATGACGACTTTGATAACATGACATGCATGCGGAATTCACTCCCTGATTTCAAAGAGTTGTTTATTCTTGAATCACCAAGTCAAGAGGTGGAATATGATGAAGAAGAGGCTTTTAGAAAAATTAATAGGGAACTGGAATAGTTTGAGCATAAACTGAAGCCTAATCTTAGTGAAACTGAGACAATCATTTTGGGAAGTTCCGAGGATGTTAAGGAAATAAAAATAAGTTTGCATATCAATCAGGAAATTAGAGAGGCAATAATACAACTTTTGTTTGAGTACAAAGATGTATTTGCTTGGTCTTATGATGACATGCCAGGTTTGAGTGTTGATTTAGTGGTTCATAAGTTGCCTGTTTATCCTGATTTTCCACCCGTCCAACGGAAAAGAAGAAAATTCAAACCGGACGTGAGTGAAAAAATCAAGGAAGAAATAATGAAACAATTGAATGCAAAGGTGATCCAAGTTATTCGTTACACTACTTGGTTGGCAAATGTTGTTCCTATGCCGAAAAAGGATGGAAAAGACAAGAGTTTGTGTGACTATCGGGATTTGAACAAGGCTAGTCCAAAAGATAACTTTCCATTGCCAAATATCCACATCCTAGTTGATAACTGTGCAATCTTTTGTGGACTGTTATGCGGGGTATCATCAAATCTTGATGGATGAAGAGGACGCTGAGAAAACGGCTTTCACCACTCCATGGGGAACTTATTGCTACATGGTCATGCCATTTGGTCTTAAAAATGTTGGGGCGACTTACATGAGAGCTATGACCATCATGTTCCATGATATGATGCATAAAGAAATTGAAGTATACGTCGACGGCGTAATCATCAAATCTAAAACACAAGTTGATCATGTGCAATATCTTAGAAAATTCTTGGAAAGAGTGCGAAGATATGACCTCAAGCCTAATCCAGCAAAATGTGCATTCGGGGTTCCATTTGGAAAACTTCTGGGTTTTATTGTTAGTAGAAGGGGAATAGAATTGGATCCCTCCAAAATAAAAGCCATTTGAGATTTGCCATCCCTAAAAAATAATACCAAAGTCATGAGTCTACTTGGGAGGTTGAACTACATCAGCAGGTTTATTGCTCAACTCACAACCACATGTGAGCCCATTTTCAAACTTTTAAAGATTGATGATGCTGTCAAATGGACAGAAGATTTTCAACGAGCTTTTGAAAAAATCAAGGAGTATTTGTCCAACCCTCCCGTTTGGTACCACCAGAACCTGACAGGCCTCCCTTTCTATATCTTTCAGTAACAGATAATTCCTTTGGGTGTATTCTCGGTCAACATGGTGATACAGGAAGGAAGGAGCAGGCTATCTACTACTTGAGCAAGAAATTCACTAGTGATGAGGTTAAGTACACCCTTTTGGAAAGGACGTGTTGCGCCCTAACTTGGGTAGCTCAAAAGTTAAGGCATTACTTATTGTCCTACACAACTTACCTCATATTAAGGATGGATCCTTTAAAGTACATCTTTCAGAAGCCAATGCCAACTGGCAGACTCGCGAAATGGCAAATTTTGCTCACTGAATTTGACATTATATATGTCACTCGCACTGCAATGAAGGCCCAAACTTTGGCAGACTACTTGGCAGAGAACCCAGTCGATGGTGATTACGAACCATTGGATACATATTTTCCAGATGAAGAGATTAACTCAATTGAGGAAGTAGGTCCAAATGGAAATCAAGCCTGGCAATTGTACTTTGATGGAGCAACCAACACAAAAGGCACAGAGATTGGGGCAATTTTAATATCGCCCACAGGGCAACATTACCCTGCAACAGCTCAACTTCACTTCTTTTGTACAAATAACACGACTGAGTATGAAGCTTGCATCATGGGTCTAAATATGGAAATAGATTTGGGTGTGCAAGAACTAATTGTGTTGGGAGATTCTGATTTGCTTATCCGACAAGCTCATGGCGAATGGAAAACTCGAGACCTCAAGCTCCTTCCATATAGACAATGTGTGGAAGATCTTAGCAAAAGGTTCAGGCACATCGAGTTTAGATACATTCCCAGGTTTCATAATGATTTGGCCGATGCCTTGGCTACTTTGGCCTCAATGCTTCCCTATCCTGAAAACACTTACATCACCCCATTAGAGATTCAAGTTCGGGACCAACATGGCTATTGTAATATAGTGGAAGCAGAACCTGATGGTGAGCCATGGTACTCAGACATCAAGAATTTTTTGAAGACAGGGAGATGCCCCGAACATGCCAACAAAAGCCAAAAAAGAACTATTAGACGTCTGGCTAATGGTTTCTTTTTGAGCGGGGATGTTTTGTATAAATGAACTCCGGATTTGAATTTATTGAGATGTTTGGATGCTTAAAAAGCCAAGAAAATTATGAATGAAGTGCACGCTGGGGTATGTGGACCACATATGAACGGATATGTCCTTGCAAAAAGATACTCCGGGCAGGGTATTATTGGCTTACCATGGAAAGATATTGCTTTCACTTTGTGAAAAAATGTCATCAATGTCAAATCCATGGAGATCTCATTCATTCACCTCATTCAAAGTTGCACCCCACGGCTGCTCTTTGGCCCTTTGTTGCATGGGGAATGGATGTAATTAGACCAATCGAGCCAAAAGCCTATAATGGACATCGATTCATTTTGGTTGCAAAAGGCGGTCGTGGATTTTGTTCATTCAAACATTATTTGTCGATTTAGTATCCCAAGAGCTATTATCAGAGATAATGCTGCAAACCTCAATAGTAATCTGATGAAGGAGGTATGCGAGCAGTTCAAAATTGTTTACCACAATTCTACTCCATACCGACCAAAAGCCAACGGAGCTGTGGAGGCAGCCAACAAGGATATCAAAAAGATTCTCAGAATGATGGTTCAAGGCACTAGACAATGGCATGAGAAACTGCCTTTTGCACTTTTAGGATATTGCACAACAGTACGTACCTCAATTGGTGAGACTCCTTATTTGCTGGTGTATGGAACTGAAGCTGTGATTCCAGCAGAAGTCAAAATTCCATCTCTTCGAATTATAGTCGAGGCTGAAATTGAAGATACTGAATGGGTCAAAACCCGACTAGAGCAACTCACATTAATAGATGAGAAACGATTGACGGCTTTCTGTTTTGGTCAGCTTTATCAGCAAAGGATGGCTCATGCATACAACAAATAGGTGCACCCAAGACACTTTGAAGTAGGTCAACTGGTCTTAAAGCGCGTTCTCCCGCACCAAGAAGAAGCCAAGGGAAAGTTTGCCCAAAATTGGCAAGGTCCATATCTTATCAAGAAAGTATTGTCCAAAGGAGCGCTGCACCTTACTGATGTGGAAGGAAAAATCACGAGCATAATTGTTAATGCAGATTCAGTCAAAAGATTCTACATCTAATGCATTCTAAGGTTCTGTGACAAGTTTGGGGTTGAAAGAACAGAGGCACCTCCTACAAAAAAGAATCTCTCATTGAAAATTCTGAACTAAGTTTGACCTGATTTCGAAAGGATACGTAGGCAACCCTTTAGGGGTTCGGTCATATCAAAAAAAAAATCAATTTTCCAGTATTTACAGAAAACTGGGGGTTTGTTTTAGGTTTTTTTATGAAGAATAATGTCATATTGTAATTCTGTTGATTTTGGCAACCGACTTTTTAGACAAATCTGAAAATGATATTAATCATCAAAGGCAACATCGGAAAAAAAACACTTATGAGTGAAAACCCTTGGGGGTACCATAAGTAAGTAAGTGCCAAAGAGAGAGAGAGAGAGAGAGAGAGAGAGAGAGAGAGAGTCTTATCGGTGAAAACCTTCACAGGCATCATAAGATGGAAAAAAATAATAATAAAATCCTATAGGCGAAAATCCTACGGGCACCTTAAGATAAAGGGAGAGAATATCATGAATGAAATCTGCAAAGATGATCATTTATGGACACCTCTGCATAAAGGGTACATAGATCAATTGACGATGACTCGGATTTTGAGAACTAAAAAAAAAAACAACTCAAACGGATCAGGGGGCAAGTCCAAGTGCATGTCATGGTTCAATCAAAGTCGACATATGCCTCCAGATTAGTTCTCTTTCTCATTTTTAAAGGAATATCCTTCATTAAGTTTATAGTCTTCTTGATCCAATCTTTCCTACTCTTAAGTTGATATTTTTATTTATCTATTTTTATTTAATTTTTTTTCTCTTCTCTTTTGATATAATCTCTTGGCAAAATAAAGTAAAGAGTGCAAAACTTACTACGGTTTCCCAAAAGTAAAACTGAGTATCTGAGTTGACAAGCCATTGACCAAGGACTAAAAACACCTCAGATCTTCACTGAAAATTCATAAAGGTCATCATTCTTTGGGACATCACTCGCACCATGATATGTGGTATTACCAAAAGATCAAGGCCCTTGGTTAACAAAGAGGGAACTTCAAAGGTTGCTTAACCAAGGAGTTGTAGTAGAGTTGGAGAAATTGATCGTGAGTATGGTCAAGTCGTTGGAGAACCAAGGCCACAAACCAACCACCATTTTAAACCAACAATTTTCTCTTTCATTTGCTCAACACAGAAAGAAAAAATGCAGGGTTACAAGTCAAAAAGGAAACATCACAAAAAGAAAGATCTCCAAAGTCTTCAAATGTTTGGTGTTTCATTTCATTCTACTCGCATTTTGCCTATCAATGCGAGAATTTTGTGCAATACGCACCAATCTGAATTCCGTGCAACAAGCACACGTCCTTTATTCATGGGCAATACGCACCATCCTTTGTTCATGTGCAATACGCGCCTGTATGAATTTCGTGCAATACGCACCAATCTGAATTCCGTGGAACAAGCACACGTCCTTTATTCATGGGCAATACGCACCATCTTTTGTTCATGTGCAATACGCACCTGTCTGAATTTTGTGCAATACGCACCAATCTGAATTCCATGCAACAAGCACACATCCTTTCTTCATGGACAATACGCACCATCCTTTGTTCATCTGCAATATGCACCTGTCTGAATTTCGTGCAATATGCACCAATCTCAATTTCGTGCAATAAGCACACATCCTTTATTCATGGGCAATACGCACCATTCTTTGTTCATGTGCAATACGCACCAATCTGAATTTCGTACAATACACATCAATCCGAGTTTATGTGCAGTGGGCACCAGTCTTTATTCACATGCAATACACACATCCTTTATTCATGGGCAATACGCACCATATTCATGTCTGGAGCAATACGCACCAACATTCATAGGTTATACACACCCTATTCACATTTTGGGGATACATCCAATCTTAAGACAATGCGTCTTATTTGGAACTCTCAGGGCAACACACTTCACTTAACATATTCATTCTAGGGTTATACTTCCTAGTTCAAGATTCTCATATGTTTTCTTCTTTTCTAAAGGAAACATATTCTACATGGGTTCTTCATTTTGTGATCTTGAGTTTTTGAGTTTCAACAACCCACTCAAGTTAAGACATGCACTTAAGAATGATCCACCAGCCGCTAAGATAGCATGAAGACCGATTTCAAAGATAATGTATAGAGCAAGTGAAAGATCTAGACAAGATCCTAAGAAGATACATCAATTAGGGATCTTGTAACATTTATAATGTAGAGAGACATAGTTCTCTAACTTTTTTCTTTGTAACTATAGGCAGTAGATGATGACAAGCAATATGAAGCAATCTTTTGGCCGTCTTTTCTGATAGTTTCGACTATCAAAGTTTCTCGAACTACACTGATCTGATTTCCTTTTAATCAAGGATATGTAGGCAACCTCTGAAGCAAGGTTCGGTCATCTTTTTTCAAAATGACTTCATCGGAGTTTGAAACAGTAAAAAATTAGCCACTTCGTTCGCTTTCTTTGCTTGAAAACTCTTCATGTTTCCAAGCAAAGAGGGGCATGCTGTGAACACCTAATTTTTGACATGTTTATTTTACTCCTATAATATTTTTAGTAAGAAATTTTTATTATTTGAATTTTTGGTATTTGTCTTTATTATTTTATTTGCTCAAATGACCCAATTTTGTTTAAATTGGGCTGATTTAAATCAATTCTGATGGCCCAATTGATCTTGACCCGGTCCATAAAAATGGTCAAGATTGAATCTCAACCATTCATAATATTTTGATCCAAGGGCTATTATTGGACCCAAACAAAAATACAAAACTCCAAAAATAGTTTTTTTTTTAATTATTTTAGATTTTTTTTCTTCTTCATCCCCTTGCTACCATGCCGTCGGCCGGCCACCACTACCGTCACCACCCCCAGTGGCCACCACTTTTTTGGACGGATTTTTAAAAAAAATTTACCATCTTTTCCTTTCACCCTCCTCTACCTAAATCTACAAACCTTCCATCCATATCTATAGCCAAACTCCGTAGATCTAAGGAAAACCAAATGTGAATTTTTACTTTTTTCCTTAGATTTATAAAGTTTCGGTCATTCCCATCTCAAACCCTTTACATAAATGTGTAGAGCTCTTCAAGGGCTATCATTTGATATAAATTGTAAGTTCAAAATCCGTCAAAAAATTTTCCGGCGACCTTCATTTACCCGGAAGTTATGTCAATCTTTTCCCCCTCTCAATCTTTATCCAATTTTATCATTATCTTTTTTCGTTTGACCATATAAGTCGTTTGATGTCGGATTTGTTTTTTAATGTTCTTTAAGTTTATCATGTTGATGATTTGCTTGAAGTATTATTATTATTTATTTATTTTTTATTTCGTTTTTTTTATCTTTATTATTTTTTATTTTTTTTACTTTTTTTCTGTATTATTTTGTTGTGTTTGATCTTTAAAATTGTTTAGATGTTTAGATTTTGTGTTAGTGGGTCAATTTGTTTGGGTCTTGATGAAATGGGTCAACATTTGGGCCTATTTTAGATTTTGTCAGATGGCCCATCAGCTATTATTCAAACAATGAATAAAAGAAATGGACCATCTAAATGACATTTAGGCCTATTATTTTTCTGATGACCTATATAACTATATTCAATTAATGAATAAAGTAAATGGGTCATCTAAAAGGGCAAATTAATTAGTTAATTAATCTGATTTTCTTAAAACAAGTTTTTTTTAAAAAAAAAAAGAAAAAAAGAAAAGAATTTCATTGGCCATCTTGGGTGGCACCTTGGGAAAACAAAGAGTCCAATGCATGCATTGACTTTTAAGTTTTTAAGAAAGGTGGGATGTTAATGTGGATCACCTATTTAAACTCCCTTCTTTTTTCCAAAAGGGGGAAGAAAAAAGAAAAAGAGGAAGAAGAAGAAAAAAGATATAGAAAGAAAATTGCAAAAAAAAAAAAAAACTTAAAAAAATTTTCTTCTTAAAAAGAAAAAAAAAGAAGATAGTGGTCTTGGGAATTCAATTGAATTTGCTTCTATATTTGCTTGTCATCAACTCTAGGTATTTATTTTTTTACATTTCAATGTAATCTTGAATTAGTCTTTAAGTTATTTTTATGTTTTTTTTTTTTGAAAAACTGTTAATATTTTTTGCTAAGCTTATTATGATTTTCGTATGATTATGTTTATCCTTATGTTAATTAGTTTGTATATTTTTATTAGCTTGTTTTATAGTGTTTCTCATATGATTGTGTTTATTATGATGTACATATATGTTATTAACCATATCTAGTTTAAATTTTAGCTTTAGTAATTAAAAAAAAAGTAAATAAATAAAATAAAACAATTGCAATTTTTTTTAGGTTTTTGGTAACTTTTTTCTTTGAAGAATGAACTTAAGAAAAAGTAAAAATAAGAGAATGTAAAACTAGTCATTTTTGCAACAAAAGAAAAATGTAAATCTGGTTATTTCTGCAAAGAAAATAAAATCTGATTATTTCTGCAAAAATGAAAATCTGGTTATTTCTGCAAAAAAAATCTGGTTATTTCTGCAAAAAAAATGAAATAAATGTAAATATCTTTATTTATTTTTTTTAAAAAAAATTAAAAAAAATCTCTTAAATAAATATTTGAATTGATTATTAAAGTAAAAATACAAATTTGACTAACTTGACTTAATAATCCAACAATTAGAAAATTTGTTATTTTGCAATAATCTATCAAATAAGTCAAGATAGTCATTTTATATAAAAAAAAAATAATTTTTTTTACTAATTGGTTATTTCTTAAATTTTTATCAGTATATATATATAAAAAATAAATAAGTTAAA